GTTTCTGAGCTTGTGTGCCCTCTGTGCTTCTGTACGCTCGGTGTCTTCTCACTTTCCAGGGCTACTGAGTTGCCGCCTCCTCTCTGAAGCTGCCCCTCCTCTCTGGGCTGGTGACAGAGTTCACCTCGGCAGTGCAGAACCCTTTGTACACCCAACCTTGCTTTAATGGTCACAAGTATTTTGAAAAACTACTACAGTGCCTCAGCCTGAACAAAGATATGCTGTTTTAATCATTTTCTTCAACTCCCAAATCAGTATCATCTAATTAAAAGCGAAATCTGAGCTCTGGGATAATGATTTATCATCTTATAAACCTCTTGTTTTCTTCTTCTCCCACAGGTGCAGGGGTAATGCATTGTATGCCCTTGTAGGATTGCTTTTGCTATGAGTTGGGATACACTTACAGGTCTTAGCACAGTGCCATTGTGAGGACTCAGTCATGCTGGTTGCTGTCTCATCATCATCTGTGTTGTCATCACGATTCTAGTTGGGATCATTTTCTTTTTTTTAAATAAATTTTATTTTATCCCATTCCTCCCTCTCCTCCCTATGCACAAAAACTTTGTTTTCCATTTTGTCCCCTTCTATTTCCACTTTTTTCTTGTCCCTTCCTTCCTTTCTCCCTCCCTCCCTCCCTCCTCCCTTGTTCCCCTTCCCACCTGAACACTTTCTTCCCTTTTCCCAACATCCATTATACATCTAAGTCCTTATTTCCACTTCCAGTCTCTCACACCAGAGAAACAATGCAGTGTTTAAAATGTGTGTCCAATTTATTTCACCTAAGAATATGGCCTCAGGGTCCAATGTCTGAAACTCATCCATCTTTATGATTGAGTAGTACTCCATTGTATCAAAAAACCACATCTTCTTTATCCACTTGTCAGTTGATGGGCATTTGGGCTGTTTCCAAAATTTTAGCTATTACACACTGTGCTGCTATAAACATAGGTGTACATATATCACTGTGGTATGATGCTTTTAATTCTTTTGAGAAGATAACTAAGAAGAGGCATAGGTGGGCCAAATGGAACCTCTAGTTTTAGTTTTTTGAGGAAACTCTGCACTGATTTCCACAGTTGTTGCGCCACATCAGCAGTGGAGAAGGGTTCCTTTCCCCCACAGCCCTTCCAGCATTTGTTATTGGTTGATTTCTTAATAGTAGCCATTCTTTCTGGAGTGAGATGGAATCTCAGCATTGTTTTAATTTGCATTTCACAAATGATCAGTGATGTTGAACATTTTTTCATAGTGTTTATTTGTTATTTCTAATTCTGCATCTGAGAAGTGTCTGTTCAGATGCCCATTTTTGGATTGAGTCTTTGAATTTGGGGGAGTCTGGTTTTTTTGAGTTTTTTATAAATTTTATATAATAGTCCTTTATCTGATGAATAGCTGGTAAATTTTTTTCCCCACTCTGTGGGTTGTCTCTTCAATCTGTTGGTGATTTCTCTTGCTGTGTAAAAGCTTTTTAATAAGATGATGTCCCAGTTGTTAATTCTTTGTTGTATTTCCCATGTGGTCTTAGTTTTGTTCATGAAGTCTTTGCTTCTGTGCCCTCAATCATTCTATCTATTCTCTTTAATTTTATTCTTTAAGGTCAATCTAGTTACTTTTCTCTCCTTGCTGAGGCAAAATACTCAACACCCAAAATTAAAGGAGGAAAAGTTTATTTGGCTTACAGTTTGTAGAGGTTTCAGTCCATAACTGGCTGGCTCCAAGGCTGGGTGGCAGAGGGGCAACATTTCATGGCAGTGGAAGACAGCAGAAAACAAAGAGAGTCCCAAACTGCATCTCTCTGCACCTTTTATTTTATCCAGTCTACTTAGGGCAGGTAGCACTCCCCCCCAAAAAAAAATCCTTAATCCTAGTGCCCTCAGGCCTCGCCCCACCATGAACCAGTCACACACTCTAGATTCAGCCACCTCTGAAAAAGCACAAGCCATAATGAATAAGTTAATTGCTTATTTTTCATGAAACAACATCTGTTTTGACATCCTTTACTTGAGTTCCATTGTGTCCTCACTCTGCATACTGCCTCTGTCCACTCCTGACACAGAGGTGTTGAAGTGCCCACTTGTGAGAGTAGGGGCATCTCCTGACCTTGTGGTCCTTCTCTTACTTGCCTGCTGTGTTTTGGTGCTTGTCGTTAGGTGCTTGTACATCCAGGAACCATCTTTCAGGGTGTAGCCTCCCTGCTATAGGTACTGCTTCCTGTTGGTAGCTTGCTCTGTTGAAATGGAGGGGATAACTCTACCTCTCATTATTAGCATGTCATGTTTGTCTTGTGTCTTTATGTTTTATGTGAGTTTTTTACAGACAATATATAGTCCTGTTTCAATCCTCCCACTGGTCTGTCTTTTAATTGGTGAATTTAGAATATTGATATCTACAGTGTTTAGTGATGTAGTTGGGTTAATGTTGCTGTATTTGTGACTTTCTATTTATTGCCTTTACTTAATTTTTGGTCTTCTGTCTTTTTTATTTTTATGGTTTAATTGAATATGTATGATTTTGTTTTCTCTCTTCTCATTTTCTACTTCTTAAAGTGTTGGCTCTAAAGTTTTCAATATACATTCACAAGTAATCTAAGTATACTTTCAAATAATAGTGTACTGCTTCTTGGATAGTAGAAGATCCTTAGAACATTGCTGTCTTTTACCTCCCTTATCTTTAAAATATAATCACCTAATATGTTGTTGTGTTATTTTGAATAAACATCACAAGAATAAGAAAGGTTGAAATTGAAAAATTCCTAGAATCAGTTGGAATTATAACATACCAGAAACGTGATACAGCATAGGCAGTTAAATATAAGAGGAGAGTTTATGGCTAAGGCTATTTACACCAAAAAAAAAAAAAAAAAAAAAAAAAAAAAAGAGGGGGCCAAGGATTTAGCTCAGTTGCACTGTGCCTACCTCACAAGCGCAAGGTCCTGAGTTTGATCCCCAGTACCAAAAACTAAAACAAAAAAACTAAAAGCAAAAACCAGAGAGATCTCAAATAAAAAAAAACTAATCATGGACATGAATGATATAGAAAAATAAGACATGCAAAACCAGACCCAACAGAAGGAACGGAATAATAAAGATCAGAGCTGACATTAATGAGATAGAGACTAAAAGAATAATACACAGGATCAATAAAACAAAGTTTGTTCTTTGAAAAAATAAACAGATTGATAAGACAAACTAAGGAAAAGAGAGAGAAGACCCAATGAATACAGTTAGAGATGAGAAGGGGAATACTGCAACCGACTCTATTAAAATTCAGCAGGAATTGCACTACTCTAAACATGGTATGCATGGGTCACTGTGACATGATGTCTTTAACTCTTTTGGGAAGATACCTAGAGCAGGAATAGAGGGGTCAAGTGGAATTTCTAGTTTCAGTTGTTGAAGAGTCTCCACGCTGTGTTCCGTAGTGGCTGTACTAGTTTATCCGGCCACCAACAATTAGAGTGTGTTTTCCCGACAGCCTCACTAGCATCTGTTCTTATTTGATTTCTTGCTGATGGCCATTCTTTGTTTTTACCACTTAGTACGTTTCCTATCCCACAGTATCTCTGTCTCCTCATTCTCTAATGGCTCTGCCTGTTCCTTGCCTTCCTCCCACCTCTTCCTCGGGAGGCGTAGGGATTTGCTCTTGGCTCTCCTCACCTGCATCTGTTCCCCGAGTGACTGCATTCCCTCCCCAGCCTCCTTCCACATTAACATTGTGTTTCTGTGAAGAATGGACCCGTAATTATGCTGAACTTCCATAGTTTATGTTCACTCACAAAATCCAACCATTCATATAGTAATAAGTAGACGTTTGTTTGTATTTTTATATGGATTTGTATATATTTTGTTAAACACGAAGAATGGAAATGTCATGAGCGTCTAGAGTTATTCTAGAGCCATTATGTTTGGCTGTGGTTATAAGTTTTGGTCAGATTTTATGACTCTGTGGACATTCAAATCATATATTTTATATCTGCCTTGGTTTATGATGAAATGCATAGGGCCATGTTGGCAAACCTATGGCATGCATGCCACTGTGGGCTGTTTGTTATCATTGAAAGTTCTAAAATATTCACCATCACTGACATAGGGCATAAAAAAGTTATTTTTGGCTGAAGAATAATTAAATTTACCAGTTGTATTGTCCTTAAGATATATAATTATAAAACCCATACATTAAAATTTGATTGTTTATATTCCAGATATTTGTCTATAAACAAACATTTTACCAGATGAGAACTTTAACTCCACTTAATGTGCCTCAGGATTTTAATAATAATTCACACTTTTTAAAGAATATAATATATGTCATAAAGTGAAATTTATCATAATTGGAGCTGGTTATACTTTGTATGCAAATATGTAAGAAAGAGTGTGTGTGGTATGGGCAGTTGAGACAGATTGCTTAATTAGGTCAGTGAAAAAATAAACCAAAGAAAGATCGAGGCTAGGGAATGATGTACCTGCCTCAATTATTGTATTACTGATAATGCTAGTCATAGACAATCATTGTGAAGAAACCTGAGTCTCCCATATCCTCAGATGATACACAGATACACCATGGTCCCTCCCTGTCTTCCAGGAATGGGTTTCAGGATTCCTTGTGGATACCAAAATCCAGCATGCTGAAGGACCCTATGAATTGGGGTGGTATTTGGCTAGAATTTAGGCATAGCTTCCCATAGACTGTACCTCATTTCTGTTTGTAATATCTAACAAAATGAACATGCTATGTAAACAGTTGTTATTCTGAATTGTTTGGGGAGTGATACCAAGGAAAAAGTGTATGTGTTCAGTATAGGTGCAGTTTTTCCTGAATATTTGCTGTTGAAATTGTTTAAATCATTGCCTGTGACCCCTGGGGATACAGAGGACCAGCTGTACACCTGTATGTCTGGAATACTTTTCTAGCGCACGTGATCATGAATATTAAAGAGTTAACTAGGTTTACCTACCCAGATTGAAAGAAAACTGCTTTTGAACTCTTCTTCCTTCTCTCAGGTATAATATTGAGCCCAGTTTATACTGTCCATTTTTCTCCCTTGGAGCATGCATGGAAGGCCTGAATATCTTGTTTAACAAACTGCTGGGCATTTCGCTATATGCAGAACAGCCTGCCAAAGGCGAGGTGTGGTGCGAAGACGTCCGGAAACTGGTAGGCCTCCCCTGTGGTGTGTAGTACGCTGCTCTGTCCCTTCTGCTTTTTGAAGTCGGTGTAATTTCATCTCTGAGTTCACTTAGCTCTGATGGAGGGAGCCCACCTTATTTCTTTTTCGAAAAAAAAAATCAAGAGGGCCATTTCTGCCTTAGGACACATGTATAAGGGATGTAAACATAAAGTAACCAAGACAGTTTTCAAAAACATATTTTAGGATCATGTTAGAGGATTGAGTCTTCATTTTTGTACCTTCCTGTGTTCTTGAATTCTAGTTACAGGAAAATTTGTCATTATTTCTTATAAACCTATAGTGCTAGATGTCTCTTTTGCACCCAAACTCTGTTGCTATTTTTCTTTTTTTTTCAATTTTTCAATTTTTAATTAATTTTTTTAAAAAATTTGAGACACAGTTTGCTGAGTCACTAAAGTGCCCATATTAGGCTCAGACCTGCAACACTCCTGCCTCATTTATCCACTCCTGGGCATCACTGCCTCTCTCTTTTCTGTCCAACTCCGCCTGATTTTTTAGAGGTTGTCTTGCCTCAGATATTAATTTTTATCCTGTGCTCTGATTTATTTGATTCCCTTACCAATAACTTCAAGTCTGGAGTTTGTCCTTTTCCTATCAGGTCCCCCTTTATTTCAGTGTGCACACAATATTTCCTAAGAAGATGTTGAGGGTTTCCCAACCCAAACATTTTTCCCTGAGCCTTTGTGTTACTGCATTGTTTGTTTTTGTCTTTGTGCTCACCACACTGTACTTATTTCACCCTGAAGAAACAGAAGCTGTCTCCCATCCCTGGGCCACCTCTGTGAGCATGGAAGGGAGGGCTGAAAGGAGTCAGTATGGAGGGGTTTCATCACCATGGCCACCTCCTAGGTTTCCCTGTATGTATTGCTAACTTCCCAAAGTGATGGGTATCTGGTAGCAAAAAGTTGTGGGGGGAAGAGTACAAGGGCTCCTTGCTAGGAGCATGGGCTTCCTGGACAGTCACTTTTGTTTCCCAAGTGCCATGAGTCCTAGCACCTAGTAGGCACTTTGTATATGTTTGTTGAATGAATAAATGAATATGTACTTGCAGAAAATTTTAGAGCACAAAGTGAGGATTCTATATGATAGAATCAAGGTTTAGAAAAAAAGATAAAGCAGCAAGATGGAGGAGACCAGTGGTTGTATATCTCCTCTATACTGTGGCTCTTTCATAGGCCCTTCTTTTTAATTTATGGAAATTAGTATGTATTATTGGTTTCCAGCTAAAGCAAGAGCTACATTCTGAGTTCAAGAGTTACAGTTCGTGTGCGCATGATGTGAAGGTGTAGCTTTGCCACTGACACCGTCCAGCCAGCGCATCGTCCAGCTCTCTCTGGCTTGTAATGGCCTCCTGTGCAGAGCTGTGGTCAGTACAGGGCCCTAGGGCTGGCGGACAGGACCAAGGATCCCCATGAAGAGGACCTTCTCTCCTGGACATGGACTTCCCAAATCAAAACTGTTGGAGAAATGGAGTAAAGGGAAAGGGGAGAGAATCTGTCTTGAGATAATGTGGGAAGTAGAAAATAAATGAAACGTCTATGTCTGTGGTTTTGGATGTGGAATGTTCTTATGTTAGGGATGTTTTCCCACATTTAGGGTTTCCTTTGGGCTCATTTACCACTAGATTTCAACTTGTTTTCTAGGCTGTTGTTCACGAATCTGAAGGATTGTTGGGGCACATTTACTGTGATTTTTTCCAGAGAGCAGAAAAACCGCATCAGGTGATCTTTTCTTTATAAACTGGTCTGTCTAGAAGTGATCGGTTTATTTGTACTAATGTGAAAGTTATAATTTTTATAGTTCTATAATATTTAAAAGGCATTAATAATAGTTTCTTAATCTGTAAGTTTGAAAACAAAATAGAATTTTAAAATAGTAAAGGTCATAGAAGTGACAAATCATAAGCCAGTCTCCCAAAAAGTGAAATGAGACTGCAGACAAATAGCTTATGTACTTGGTCCGAGGCATACAGGCAGGAGCATTAAGATTGAAACCCAGACATTCTGGCTAGAGCCCAGCTCTTAACACTTTTTTTGCTTGACAGTGAATCTAGATAACAGTGGCAAAAGATAGGCACATATGGAAAGTGTACCAACCACTCGTTGCCTCCTTATGTGAGGACAAGGGTTGATTTTCATTCCTTTAGCTGCAGACCAGCTTTGCCAGCTGGTCAGTGTTATGCAACTTCATAGGAGATGTCCCCAGTTCAGGTTATCAATTATAACGGAAATGTACCTTCCATGTGAATATAATTCACAATTTCCGAAGCATTTTAACAGATATGAGCTTAGGAAATGTGGTCAACCATCTGTGATGTGGCAAGATAGGATTTTGTATTTAGAAATGAGGATATAAGATACAGTGCTTTCTGAGTTGCTTTAGCTCACAGGTGTCAAAGGGCAGGAGCAGCATGCGTGTGACCTGGCTCAGAGTCCTGTGTTTTTCCTTTCTGCCTGAATGGTAACAGAGGCTTCAGCTTACTGACCAGCAGCCCCGGTTTAGATTCCACATGCAGTGATTATAGCTGGGTCTCCTTTGATATGGCACTTGATATTTCCAAGACTTGGTATCACTATTTTTTTATCTGAACAGTAAGATACTGCCTCATGGGGTTGTGTAAGGAATAAGTGATGAAGGAATAAGTATGTATCTCAGTATGGTTGCTGTCCCAGAGTAGGTTGCTCCATATCCCCCTCCTTTAGGATCACTCAGTCCCATTGCTTCCATCTGATAAAGACAGCAGATGTAGAAAGTGCCTCCTCACTCACTGTCTAACATGCGTAAGGATACAACATAGATATTAGTGCCCCTTCTCCCAGAATCTGGTGTCTGTCCCTCCCCACTTACATGGGAATACCTTGGGGTAGAGGATCTAAACTCATGGATTGCTTTGTTTCTAGCATTTGGTTCAGGATCAGTTCCACGCTTGTTATTGGAACAAATGAAGGAATTAATACAAGCTCAAAGTATTTTTTAATTAAAAAAATTAAAACTCTTGCAGAATAAAATATTAAAAATATATAGTGAATATTAATAGAATAAAGTTTGAACTTATTCATTTCAGTAGTTGTATCTTAAGACTTTCTTACTCTCTAATTCCATAATACTTTCATCTCCTTGTATATTTCTGATTTGTGAAGGATTGCCATTTTACAATTCGAGGAGGCCGATTAAAGGAAGATGGAGAATATCAACTCCCAGTTGTAGTTCTTATGCTGAATCTTCCCCATTCCTCAAGGAATTCACCCACTTTATTAACTCCTGGGATGATGGAAAATCTTTTCCATGAAATGGGACATGCCATGCACTCAATGCTGGGACGAACTCGGTATCAACATGTCACGGGTGAGCAGTGAGAGGGCTTTTATTTAACAGAATCTTTTATTTATTATGATTATTATTATGATTATTATTATTATCATTATTATTATTTGGTACCAGGGATAGAACTCAGGTCCTTGTGCTTGTGAGGCAGGCAGTGGAACCACTTAGCTAAATCCCCAGACCAGAATCTTTTACAAACATTAATTTTTTAAACTAGAGGAAGGGTTTGTTATATGGAAAATCTGATTTACTAATGTCTTGTGACTTTTTATCTCAGATTGCCTTATCTGTTGTTGTACACCCTGGTCCTTTTGTGCTTTTTTACATCCTTGCTGACTAACTGCTCTCACCAAGGAATAAGTCTCAGTTGTCTATCTTTTGAGTTTGTGCTTTTTTGTATTTTATAGTGTTTTACTTGGAATTGAAATTTGGGGTTCTGGGCCAGAGATTTAGCTCAGTGATTCTGCCACCTGCCTTGCAAGCACAAGGATCTGAGTTTGATCCCTGATACCAAAAAAAAAAGAAAGAAAAAAAAGAAATTTGTGGTTCTGTGTGTGTATATAATAAATATGTATCTCTTTAGCGCTTAGCATAGTTTGTGAGTACAGAAGTAATGAATGTTGCCTCTTTAAAATAAAGCTTCATCTGTTTTGTTTAAAAAACCAATAAAACATATTTAAAAAGTATAATAGAGTACTTTGTAAATTTTTCTTATCCTATCTGTTGTCTGAAATTATAATCCTGCTTTGTTAACTTTTTATATTAATACTTGTCCATATTTGATGTTATTCCTGCATTCCTCTTAGTTGTCTTATCTCTTAAATCTTAAAGCTCACTGCCATAAGCATTTGGTATTTGACCACCCAGTAAATGGCTTCAACCATTACTTATTAACTAACTTTATACATGCAATATTTGGGTAAAGTGAAGGTATTTGAAAAGACTGTAGGTGGGCTGCCCAGAATGATAAAATGTCACCAAAAGAATTCTTCTGGGCTTTAAGTAATTTTGAGTTTAAAGTATTGATTTTCTTCACTGAGGATTGATGTTATTATAAAAAGCATTAATAGATAAAAGTATTTTTAAAAGAAATGAAGGATAAAAGCTTTGATAGTGTAATTCAGTGAATTAATTACAAATGCTGTATTAATTATGAGTGTTTTGTGTTTCATGTGTAGCCAGCATAGCAGAGGACAGATTTGTTTGTAGAGGGTGTGAGCCATGGCTTTATACAGTGTTTCAGCAGCTGTGCAAATATTTTGTTTTACTTTTGCTATAAAGAGAAATATATAGGATTATAATAAATTTTTCTGCAAATATGTGCAATAATTTTATATAAGTAAAATATTGATTTAATGAATTAAAGCTTATCATAGTTCATCAGAAGTACACATAAAAGTTTTTAAAGTATATGTAAAAAGAAAAATAAATATATGGATTTTTGACTCATACTAAATTTTGTTCTTTTCATCTTAGGGACCAGGTGCCCCACGGATTTTGCTGAGGTTCCATCTATTCTGATGGAGTACTTCTCAAATGACTATCGAGTGGTTAACCAATTTGCCAGACATTATGAAACTGGGCAGGTAGAAGCTACTGATACAGGTTGAGCATCCCTAATCCAAAAGGTCAAAAATCCAAACTATGCCAAAATGCAAAACTTCTCAAGCGCTAATATGATGTTACAAGTGGAAATGTCACACCTGGCCTCGTGTAATGTATCTCAGTGAAAATGCAGGTGCATTAGAAATATATAAAGATACCCACAACCTACGTACATGAAGCAGAGTGCCTATGAAACATAACTCAATTTATGTTCAGACTTCAGTCCCATCCTCTAGATACTTTATCAACATGCAGGTATCTCAAATCTGAAAAAATTCAAAATCTGAAACATTTCTGGTTCCAAGCATTTGGATAAGGGATACTCAACTGATATTGTTGCATTTTCCTTTGGTTTATGATGATTGAGTTTTATGACTTGTTGGATAATGTTGAACACTTGGTGCCTTTTCAGAATACCTGTCACCCCCTGGTAGAACCAGATTCCTTTTATTGTTCACCCTCCCCTGATTCCCTGTCTTTTCCCCACTAGATTGTGTGTGTGTGTGTGTGTGTGTGTGTGTGTGTGTGTGTGTATAAAATGAGCTGTTCTTTGTGGTTTGTCAAGTAATTTACGACTTACTCTTCATTGCCATCCCAGGAGGAAAGCACTGTATCCCTGGTAGAGCAAGTGTCCATGCCGTTCTTACTCCAAGGAGCATTTGCTTTGGCATGTTTGTTCTCTTGGCCTGAACTTTTACCCTGTGCCTATTTTCTCAGTACATTTAGCATCTGTAGCATCTATTTGAAGCTAAATCTGAAAATGTCCTAATTTTGAGGATTTGATTTCAATGACACATTTTAATTTTAAAGATTTTTTAATTTAAAATGAAAGATATCTTGTTGCAAGTTAGCCATATGTATAGCTGTCAACATTGAACAGGTTACTATCCATGTGTGCACTGGAAAGTAAATTCTTTCCCTTCTCTCTGAACTTTGATTATATAGTATTACATTAGGGAGCCTTTTTGCTTCCTTATATAGGACCTCCCCATTTCAAGTGTGAATTATAGTCATCTTTTGGATCTAGGCCCTGCACTCTTGTCTACTATGAAAACAAACTAAAATCCGAAACTAAATGAAGGCAGGAAATTGGTTCGGAAAAAGAGGACTCAAACCACTTTAATCTTTCTGATTATGTCTCCACATCATCTGATCACTTTATTTTATTTTATTTTTTCTGGTACCAGGAATTAAACTCAGGACCTTGCACATACCAGGCAGGCGCAGTGCTACTGAGCTACATCCCTGGCCCAGTCATTTGTATTTTTATGGATTTGATTCTGTATCTGTCAACTGTAGAATGTTGGATATGTTTTGGGGTAACTAATCCCAGTAAGTTATCGCTGTTATCTATGTCAGTTATTAAGATGACAAAATTGAAATAGTTGATTTAATTGACTACTTGTCCATCCACCTACAAATAATTGCTTTAGGGATTATGAAGATAAAGCCCATAGCATAGAATAGTATAACTCACCACATAATGTCAGCACTCATCTATAGCTACATACTCCTGGGCTTCAGGAGCAATTAGGTTTTTCCTAATTTCCTGCATCAGACCTGTTGGAGCACATCTAGTGTATAATGTACCGGACCATGGGAGAGCCCAGCCCAGGCTGTCTGGGCCCTGGGAGAGGGTTGAGAGTGGGTGCTAGAAAGGTATGTGGAAGGAGCAGTTTGCTAGTTGGCTCTTGGCAGCCCATTTCATTAGAGAGTATTTATTGCCGAGGATTTGGCTCAATGGTTCTGCCATCTGCTTTGTAAGTGCAAGGTCCTGAGTTCGATCCCTGGTCCTCCAAAAAAACAAACAAACAAAAAACAAAAACAGAATACTTATTGAGGACAATATTAAGGACATGGAGGTACTCAGGATATTGTTGAATTTTGTTGTGGTCTAGTCACTGTTCTCTGCATCTCAGAAACAGCCACAAATTAGTGTGATGGTTTAGATCTAAAATGTTCCCCAGATGCCTAGTGTTTGGAGGTGAGGCCTGGTTGGAGAGAGCTGTCATTGGGGTCTTGATCTGGAAGGGAATGTTCTTGTCCCTGGCTCCTCCCTTTACTCTCCGCTTCCAGCTGTCGTGACATGAACAACTTTCCTCTGCCAGGCCCTCCCACCATGCTGGTTTTGCCTTGGAGCCAGTCACTCATAGACTGAACTCACTGAAAACTGTGAGCCAAAATAAACCTCTCTTCCTCTAACTTTTGGTTGTCAGTTATTTAGCAACTGGTAAGGTGACTAATAGTCAGACAACATCCTAGGGCTCCTGTCTTTAATTGCTAGGGAAACAGAGTCAAAGCTAGACATTGCCACCAGAAAGAAAATACCCTGAAGGCTGAAAACGTCCTCAAGAGCCCTTGTGTGGTCCTGGTGGATTTGACCAGAGGAGATAGAGGAGGGAGAGAAGCAGATGGAAAAAGGTCTTGGGGGAGGACAGGGTCAGGTGGTGAGGGGCTATTGATTGTAAACAGAAATTGTAAACAGTGTTCTGATGTGGAGGAAGTCATTAAAGGATCTGAAGTAGGGCATCAAACTTTTATTTTGGGAAATGACCCTGGTGTCTGGAAATAATATGGAGTGGAAAGTGATATGTTTGAAGTCAGAGATGTGTTTTTGTTGTCAGTGAACAGGGCTGGGATAAGTGGAGGGCAAGACCACCCTCTGACACATACAGCCCTGCCCTGGGACACAGTGCTGGTCTCCCTGCCCTGTCCTGTGCCTATTTGGCTGGTACACACTCTTCTGTGTGCCTCTCCCCAGTACTTTTGAGCCCCAGCCCCAGCTCATGTCCCAGCACTAAGTGAGTTCTTCAGTGTGGCCCCTTATGCCCAGCTCCATTGAATCGCTTCCTCTGGGGCCTGCTGCTCTGGCCCCCTGCCTCACCCATTTCTCCTCAGCCCTTGGCATCCCAGAATTCTAGCAGGGCCTTGTTTGGCCCTCAACAGGGCTCCAGTGAAGGCTCACAGATGTGCATGAAGGCAGCATGAGACTGGCAGAAGACCTTGAGGCCACTGGGATAGCAGAGGGGGTCAAAGGTGGAGACTGAACATCAGAACTCTTTGGACAACGGTCAAATTTGAGAGTGCAGTGGCTGAGTTCTTGTTTTGGGTATATTTGTGAATGTCACTATGGATCAAAAGGCCATTAGTGACACAAATCTGAAATGAAGGAGTCAAATAGACACTGCAGGTAGGTGGGAATACATGATTAAGTATAAGGAGTTCAGAAATCGTCCTTGAGAAAAAAGCTGGAGATGTCTAAAGAAGCCAGTGAACACAGGTATGAGGGGGACACACATATAAGAATAATTGCAAAAGGAGCATTTTTTAAAAAAGTGAAATCTTGGCCTGAAATTCACTGATATTAGCATCAGTTTTTAAACATCCCAGCTCCTTAGAGAGCAAGCAGAGAAGTGGAGGACCCGAGCCATGACCTGCAGAGAGACGTAACAGGAGAGAGCTTCTCTACCCGTGTGCTTACTGTGAGCTCTTTGGTAAAGACAGCTCCTTTTGGACTAGATACCTGGAAAATAAACAAACCACAAATACCTTCCAAGATGGATGAGGTGGGAAGAGAGTTTGAGCTGCAAAAGTCCAGTGCCCTTAGGAACTTGCAATCTCTAAAGAATTTAAAATAATTTTGTGATTTCATGGAGAAGAGAAAGCTAGCTGAAAGGCAAGAGAGCTTTAGGCTTCACAAAGGGCTTGCCTCTTCTTGTCACTAATTAAGACACCAACTGGTTTGCTTTTTTAAAGGGCAGTCCTAGTCTTAAGGGTAAGGAGTTTATTCCCTAAAATCCAAGTCTTTGTGAGTTCATGACATTTATGCATCAGGGTTGCATATTTCTGCTTAATTTTCTATTCTGTTGCATTTCAGGAAAGGATTTAAAAAAAAATATCATGAAATATATTCCAGAGAACTTGGAGGGTGTATGATAATCTTTTACTGATTTAGTAACACCTACCAGTATTTGATCTACAGCATAGTGTAACCAGTGGATTCTTATGGTAGAAGAATTAGAAGTATGCTTATCATAATTGGAGGTACCACATAGATAACAGATACAGATAACAAATGCCAGAGGCACTCATTTGAGATTCAAAACTGTCTCAACAAGCTACATCAAAGCTGACGTCTGATTTATTGCAACATCAGAGCTGAAGTAGAATTTCTTATAAATTGATCTTAAAATCGCTAGCCTGACTACAGAAGAGGTACCCACTCCGTAGCAGTTCAAGTTTTTGGACATGAACTTAACCCGGATCGGTGATCTGGTGGTGTTTCCCCACAGATCTTGTCTCATCTAAGGCTGTCTGAGAGGACTTGTGGTGTCTAAGGGTCTACGAAGGCCATTGTCTCTTTCCTGAGTGCTGATTGCTTCCAACCTAGAGCCCTTTCCAGTTTCCCCAAGTGAGCAAGGATTGTCTGTAGGTATCCCACATTATTCAACGATGAACCTTGTCCTTCCTAAAGCTCTTTAGCTGCTTACCAATTTAATTATTGAAATACAGGATGAGAAAAAATTACGTATGTATTTTTAAATTAATTTTTATAAGATTATATAACAGGAACTATAAAAATGGCAATTTTATCAAATTTATTCAACACAAGAATTGATTGACTGGTTGAAATGACATCCACCCAAGTGAAGCCTGGGACAGTCAGTATATAAATAAACATGCTGCCCAGTGACTCTCGGGGTAAATTGTGAAGTGATTAATGTGCAGTTTTTTCCTGAAACTGGGATCTCCTGTCAGTTACCTATTTCTATTTAATGGCCTTGTGTGGCTTCACCCCAAATCTGTCATAAAATCACAGGTGCTCTTTGGGTACTTGGAGACAGGGTCATCTTAGCCCTGTACCCAACATTGAAAATGCTAAGCAGCTCCATCATGCAACCTGGCAGCCTGGTCCCCTTGACCCTGTCCCTGACCTTGATCCCCTGGTCATGTGGGTGCCCCGAGTTTTCTTCTGCATTCT